ATCAACTATCTTATCAGCTTTATAATAGTAATAATAATAATAATAATAATAATAATAATAATACATTTCATTTATAAGCATCCTCACAAGGTTCGAAGGGGTGGTGGAGCCTATCCCAGCTGTCTTCGGGCAGTAGGCGGGGGACACCCTGAGCTGGTTGCCAGCCAATCGCAGGTTGCCAGCCAGTCGCAGGACACAAAGGGCACACAGAGACAAACAACCATCCGCGCTCACACTCACACCTAGGGACAATTTCAGCCTGCCATGCATGTTTTTGGAATGTGGGAGAAAATTGGGAGTACCCAGAGAAAACCCACACAGGCCCGGGGAGAACATGCAAACTCCAGACAGTTAGGCCGGGATCGAACCCATGACCTCTGCACTGTGAGGGTGACGTGCTAACCACTGGCACACCGGGCCGCCCAGCAGTAAACAAACAAACAAACAAAAAATAGTTGGTAACGCGTCCATGATGCACATTAAGTGCAGCCTCCACGAGTTTAATGCTTATATTGTCTTTCCTCCATTTTCAGAAAAGGGTACCTCCACTTTTGACATTTTTTTTTCATTTTCACCATTAGAGTGCAGTAAGCTAATACACACCACTGAAAGAAACTAAGAATGTGACACGAAATAGCTCCACAAATTGACAAATGGTGTAATCTGGTAGAAACCATTAAAAGAAAAAAAAAACATTAGAGAAGTGCAGTAAGAGAGTACATATGTACTGAAATGCTGGCAAACTTGTTCCATAAATGTCATAATCACTTACTGGATAGGCGTTTATCTATGCCGAGGCGTGGCGCATTTGTCGCCCACCCATCCCGGGTAGCACTTGCACTCAAAGCGGGACATCATCAACATTTCCTCCTGCGTGCTGAGCCGTCCTTGGACCGTGTAGTGGCGCCCGCCCTGCATCCTCCTCTCAGAAGTCAACTTCCAGTGAGAGGGGTGGAGATGGAGGTAGACTTGCGACTCGGCGTCCCGCCTGGCGCACCTGCCCCTGGATGAGCACCGGGCACGACTGCAGAGGACGGCCGCCGACGTCACGTTGACCAAATATGGACCCAGGGTCTCGTCTATGTACCACTTAACGGCGTCGCATGAGGCCTGAGGGAAAGGAATCGTGTATTTGTCGTAATGGTGGTGGTCTATAAGCGTACAAATGAGGTTATAGTAATCTATTAGTCAATTTAAGAAATATCTTCCTATGTGGGTTTGATAGTTTATTAATCGCATATTGAAACAATTGAGGCAAAAATAGACGAGACTACTATTTATTAAAGAATTTAATTTGGTAGTTAGTATTTAAAGTCATTGTAATACGACTGAAATTAAGGTCATCTACAATTGCCGCAAATAATTTCAAACATGTGCCCGCGGATGTTCATCCATATACAGTATAAGAGTTCTGTTTTGCTGTTTTTTTTTTTTTTTTTTTTTTTTTTTTTTTTTACTCAATCCCCCACTTATTGCATTTTTTTCCCTGTCGCAGTTACAATGAATGTTAATTATTGACAGATTTTCGCTAGTCATATTAAGGACCGGTCCCTATCCCAAAATAGCAGGGGTCCACTCAAATTATAATTCCTAATATCAATATTTGTCATATAAATATGTTCTATTATAATTGGATTATTTGTGAAGGTCATCTACAATTGCCGCGAATAATTTCAAACATGTGCCCGATCCATGACTTTTTTTCCCCTTTTTAATGAAATTATTATTATGATTTTTGTTTTTTGTTTTTTTACTCAATCCTCCACTTATTGCATTTTTTTCCCCTGTCCCAGTTACAATGACCGTTAATTCTTGACATATTTTCGCGAGTCATATTAAGGACCGGTCCCTATCCCAAAATAGCAGGGGTCCAATATAAATGATAATTCCTAATATCAATATTTGTCATATAAATATGTTCTATTATAATTGGATTATTTGTAATTGTTTTTATACTAAAACTAGATTGTAAAATATCAATGAATAGTTACAAATCTATTATTCCAAAAAGTGCATTTTGTTTTGTAAGATTTTATTTTATTTACCGTATAGTGAAAATATATTTCAAATATAATTCTTGACATATTTTCGCGAGTCATATTAAGGACCGGTCCCTATCCCAAAATAGCAGGGGTCCAATATAAATGATAATTCCTAATATCAATATTTGCCATATAAATATGTTCTATTATAATTGGATTATTTGTGATTGTTTTTATATCAAAACTAGATTGTAAAATATCAATGAATAGTTAAAAATCCATTATTCCAAAAAGTGCATTTTGTTTTGTAAGATTTTATTTTATTTATCGTATAGTGAAAATATATTTCAAATAATTTTGATTTTGGGGGAATATTTCTAAAACAATGAATGAACAAATGAATGAATGAATTGTTGATTTCAACCTAGGTCAGCAAGGAGTTTTAGTTCCGCTGGTTTGGCAGATGATTGTACCGAGTGCCCTTTGACTTGTCAAGGATGCATGCATTTTGCTTTTTTTTTCACTTTTAGATATTTTACTTTTTTTTAATTTTCTCTATGAAAAATACAGATATGACATGAATTCAGACAAATGCATAATGCAGATTAATCGATCAAGGATTATCATTTGCTGTTTATGTTGTCTGTTTATTTAGATTCCACCCAAAAAAAAAAAAAACCTTCGATCAAGCCTTAATTGCAATTTGAAAACAAAAAGTCACAATCATTCCTGTGCAAACTTGCACAAAAAAACAATTATATATGGTTGTTATTTTTATTTTGTATTGTATTGTACATCACAATTTACCCATTATTGATGACATTTCAACTCGGTCAGTTATGGTGAGCTTGTGACATTTCTCCCCCCCAACTGTTTTCAACATGTTTTGACCACAGAAACTTTCCAAAATACTTTTTGAGGAAGTAGTGTGTAGGCTTGGTTACTGATATAACCTAAAAAAAAAGTAGGGATGGAAATACTTTTTTCATGGCTGTATTGATTGTAATTTTCATGTTTCAAAATACATGCTCGTGGAAAATGTTGCTGGACTATATGTGCCCTCCAAATGAGTGCCGCCTACCATCTACAAAGCCGCATGATGTTCCTGTAACTACGGTTGCACATACTATTCAGAAAGTTTACATCCACAGGGACAGTACTCAAACTATACCAGCAATTTTTGTCCATGTGTGTAAGTAATATAGAAAATGGATGCATAGATTGAAGTGGTAATACCTTAGATTTGGAGAAAACATGGTCACCCCAGAGCACAACCCCTGCAGATCCCAAGGCAGCGCTCTCTCCGACAGTGTAGACCAGATGCTCCTGCATTTGGCAAACAAAAGTATGTGTTTGGAAAAAAAAAAAAGATATATTTGCAAGTCTATGTTAATTAAAACCTCCTGATGTTAAACATCATGACAGTATTTGTGGACCGCATTTAACTCACCTGGGAGAGAAATTGGAACGAGTAGGTGTAGACAATGGTGGCGTAGGGAATAATGGGCCGAGGTGGCGCCGCCACTCTGAAGGCCTCCAGGATGCGGTGACGAGCATAGAGCGACACCTCCTGGTCGAGGCTTCGCAGCTCCTGGCTGAGATAGATGTCGGGATAGAGCGCAGACGAGACGTTCCACAGCCACGTCAGCTTGTCATTCCTCTTGGACTCCACTGTGGGACACTGGCCTGTGTAGTTGCTGCTTTTGTAGTAGTTGTAGCAGTTGGGGAATCCATAGAAGCCCCACAGTCCACCAGGCCGCTCTTTCTGACCCATTTTCAGCGTCTCCTCCATGAACTTTCTGCCCGCCGCCTCAAACTCAACATGGGCTAAAGCGTCCACCTGCGCAGGTTTCCAGTCTGGATGCCTGGACCGGACCAGTGCTCGTGATCCTTCCCAGTACACCTGCTTGGTGTCCCAGTTCCTCTCCCACACTGGCCTCCAGCTTTCCCAGTCTACCACAGCCAAGCCCTGGAAATCCCCATCAGGGATGTACTTGTGGATGTCATTTCTCGCTGCCCTCAGGTGCTCATCGAGGCTGGCGTTCTGCGGCACACCGCCGTTTACGGCCTTGCCTTGGCTATAGTACGGGTACACACCCAGCTTGTCTGTGTAGAAGATGGTTATGTCGTCACCCATGAAAGTCTGGTTTTGGTTCTGGTCGATACTGAACGTGCCGAGGTCGAGATCCACGCCATACTGGGAGAGGCAGGCGGCCGAGGGGGCGTTCCACACACTCGAAAAGGGCAAATGGGAAATGGACGATGGCGCCATGGTGACGCCTGGAAGGTTACTAAATAAGATGAACCAGAGCAGCGGGATAGGATGAAAGCAACTCATGCCTATGAGGAATAAACAAACAACAACAACATAAAAAAACAACATAAGTGATCCTGTAATAATTGGTAATATCACCCCATAACTGAGAATCCTTGTATTACAGGCTAGATATTTCATCACAATTGAAAGCCATACAGGCATTCGGAAGTATATGGTGCGAGCAAGTACTCAAATTTCACGACTGCACTACTACCAATTTGGCTGAATTACCTCCGCCAAGGATATTTTTTTTACTAGTTTGATGCAAGAGTACATCAAGATGGCAATCTCGGTTATATACTCTTTTTCATTTGATTGTTTTCATATAAATAAGTACTGAATTTATTGCTTCACTAATCCGATAGCGAAATTAGAAATGGACTACGACCCGTTCCGATTTACGGACACACTTCGGTTACGTCGCTGCCGTAGGAACAGAACTCCGTCGTAAAACAAGAAGCCCCGAAAGTCACTTTTCAAGTCAAAGTACATGGCATCATCAAATGGCCATTTCTTGTCGTAGAAAGCCTTGACGGAGTTCTCTTGCTTCATCAGTTTTCTTCAAGAGTGACGTTGCTTAATAAGGCATGCTGTAGCCTTCTACTTCTTAAGCATCCACTCACAGTGTTTTCGTTTTAAAGTTTTCAATTTGACTCATTTTTCGTTTTAAAGTTTTCAATTTGGCTCATTTTTTGGTAGTGAAATCTGCACTTGTCCAAAACGTATTCCAAGTAAGTCGTTCAAAGCGAACTATTATTCATTTTCTTAAATTTCGCACTTACCTGCATTCGATAGAAAGTATTTGAGTGGATAAATTAATACTTTTTCAAGTCGAATGAACTCATGCTGGAAAAAACAAACAAACAAAAAACACAAGTCTCGTGACTGGAATAATACTGTGCACAGGAAAAAGGGAAGCGGTACAAAAACAGATGTGAGGTCGTGGGATTTTTCACAACCAATCAGAATGGTTCTTGTATGTCTCAAACCCCGCCCCTAGCCAAGAGGATTGGATCTCGAACAGCCAATCAGAGGGATGACAAAGTACAGTTGTGACTTTTTTTATGTGATAGGCAGCTCGAAAACGAGTCAGGTGATCGATTATTTGCAGATGATTGTAGTGTATGCGTACACAACAAACACCCACAGTATAAATGCTTACATTCATTCATTAACTCATGAGGGTCCAGGCATTGCTATCCAAGCTGACTACGGGCAGTAAACCGTGTGCACTGTGAACTGGTGCCAAAAGCAGAGCATATTAAATATACAAATACTGGGCAAATGAACAAACAGGATTCTGATCAACGAAAGAACAATCTGCTATGAAGCATAACACTTGAACTCTCTCTCTCCCAAAAAGTTAAGTGTATTCCTTTTAACCGTAAGTGAAAACAAAATATTTGAGTTCATAGGGGGAAAGGAGGAAGTTGGAGCAAAGGCCCGGTCAAAGCAAGAGCTAACTGTAGGTCCCTCTAGTGGTCATAGGTCGTGTAGTACTATATTATAATAATAATCTTAATAAGAAGAATAAATCAAACGTATGTATTTAATTTATATAATTTTCAGAATTCAATAGTCATTAACAACATGATAAAATAGCTTTAAGTCAGAGAATACACTTTTACAATAAATAGTAATTCTGAATAAATTAAATATACTTAATTTACCATCAATTTGCTTACTATTTTAGAACCTATATGATAACTTACAAAAAAAGATATAGAATCCCTAAAATAATTAGGATTTATGTTCATCAATTTATGACGTGAAATTAATTTGAAAAGTATACTGTATATACAATAAAAATAAAATGGCAATAATGTCAGTGAATATAGTCACATATAATATAATTAAAAATTAATTTACGTAATTTGACAGTTTAATCAGTAAAAATATAAAATACTGTTTGTCAAATTCAAAATAAAAGTGAAGCGGTTTTCAGGAAAATTGTCATTTGACTTAAAAAAACAACCCTGTGACCCTTGTGAAAATAAGCGGGTCAGAAAATGGATGGATGGATTTAAAAACCAAAATATGAAGAATACAAAAAACTCAGTTCTGTCAGTGAATCTATTTATTGTTCAGAAATGCATTTGCTCTTTACTACAGTTGTGCTGCAATTGAATCTTTTTTTTTAACAATGTGCTTTTACAATTTCACTCTGAAGTAGTAAATTAGTAGTCGTCATGGCGTTTAAGGCACAGAAATGTCACGCATGTGAAAAAATGCTAAAGTACATTCAAATAAATACTGCGATGGCCTCCATCAAAATCAGCTCAGCCACTGACCGCTCACCTTTCTCTCAGCAAACATCTCAACTCATCTCATCCACTGTGGGAAACTTGGAATCTGACACCTTTGGGAGACATGGCGAGGGCCAGGAAACTGGCAGCTCTCTCTAGCTGAAAAAATAACATTTTCCCCCTCTTCCTTCTCTTGTAACAGTGTTCTCAAGATAAAAATTCACTTTTTGCCATCCATGTTTTACAGTATTTGAAAGGCACCAGACAAATGTGTGTGTATGTGTGTGTGTGTGTGTGTGTGTGTGTGTGTGTGTGTGTGTGTGTGTGTGTGTGTGTGTGTGTGTGTATACAGCAGTAGTTCTCAAACTGGGGTCCACGAGCCATAGTATGGGGGTCCACAATATGCTTTGCAATAAATTATGCCCAATCATTTACAAAGCACATCATCGACAAATGACTCATTTTTTCCGCCACTAAAAGCTTTGATTCGATTGTGACTCATCATATGAATCTGACATCCCTGCATGACTACTGTAGGCTTCTTTTGCAAGACAAAAGGCACAATATTACAAGACTAAAGTGGCAGTTTTTAAAATGACCTATTAAAATCTGACTTTGTTCCTTCCATAAAAGCTTTGACTTTAATATTATAAAATGAAGAACAACAGGCCCATTATTACAGGAACAAGATAACTTGGGTTGGAAATGGCCACAAAGCCATTTTTCAAGCCGTTTTTTTTTGGTCTTAAAAACCTGGCATGTAAGACAGTCAGTTTTCTCCTAAATATTTAAGATGTAAATAAGCTTGCTCTAACTGGATGGCTGTTTTCCTTAATTTGATATTGAAAACAGACTGCCTCTGATTCGTCAGTTCCCAATATGTTCGCATGTTGTAGCCACCAATGCCTTTTCAATGCAATGCTCAGTTCAAATTCAGCAGGCTGGCAGCGGAATTGTGGCCGGCCAAAGTGCGGTCCCCCTGGAATTAAATGTTTCCAATTTCATTTTCTACTCGGTGATGCCCGGCAACCTGTGAAACTTTTGACTTAATCATTGTAATATTATAATTTTGTCTTAGAGCAAAAGTTGTATTATTACAGGAACAAAGTCATATATTTTTTCTCCAAACTGAATTTCTTTAGAGTTCATAAGCAGCCCTCTTAGTAGCGGCAGGTGTGTGCTGACTCCCAAGAGATCGGTTAGTTCTGAACACAGCCACATCCCGATCTATCAGTGGGTGTGCACACTTGTACAGGACCATGATCGCAGTTGTTTATTTTTAATTCCACTTCTTAAAAGATTTTTTTTAATCAGTGGAGTTGTACATATATACATTAATTATGGACAAAGTTTTGAAACGATCTTGATATGTATTTTTTTTCAACTGGGGTGTGTAGACTTATCAAATCCACCATCTTTAAGCTTGAATCAGATACTTTTCCATGAAAATACCCCAAATTCCCAATCGACTCCCATAATTGCATAGTTTGGAATATTTTCCAAGTTCCCCATTTTAATTTCCCATGGAAATTTACAGTAAATTATCCTATCGTCTTCCCCCCATAGCCATCCAGGTAAGGGGTCCTGGGACCCCAAAAATTGGAGAACCCCTGGTCTACAGTATGTGTTGCACCCAAACATAGAAAAGCAGAAAGATAGCACACTGCAGAGCCGACGCCGAGGTTAGACACGCCGCTCCTTTCTGATACAGAGGGTCCATCTTCTCGCATCGCTCCCCCTCAAAACCGCTATAGCACTGACACCGGAACATGGAGCCGAAGCCCACCAGGTCCTCCCGGCCCGGCTCGCCGACCACCTCCAGCCTGCCGCCTGGTCCGACCCGCAGGCTGTGCGTGGCAGGGTTCAGGTGCAAGTAAACGTCGGCATCGGGGTCCCGGCGTAAGCAGCGGCCATGGGAATAGCACAGAGCCTGGCTGCATACCTCGGCTGCCGTGGAGACATTGAGGAGGTATTTGCCCAGCGGACCCCGGAGATAAGCATCCAGATCCGAGCAGGTGGTCTGAAAAAGAGCAAAGACAAGAGTTACAGCTTGTTGACATGGGGGACCGATTTATGCACTGGGAAATAAATGTTGGCATTGGAGAAAAATAAACTAGACACACTCCAAGTTATCTGGATGGTTTACATTACATTTTTCCATTTCAGACATTTATTTTTTCAATGTTGTTGTTTTTTTCAGTGTCAACTTCCTTCCGGATTTTCACATTGGATCTTTTTTCATGTTACAATTTTGGGGAGAAAAATATGTCTTTAAAGTCACACAAATTTCAGAATACAGTGTATAGCAGAACAATTTCAGAAAAAGATTTAATTGTGATTTTTCTCACAGAAATTGCCTGTTCCATTTGATTAATTGAAATCAAACTTCAGGGCAATATTCACTCGGGACATTAACATTTACAAATATGACAGAAGCTTACATGAATATCATCAAAACATACAAAATTGTTACTCTAAGAATGTAAGGACCCTAAAGAGTCTGTGTGAGAGAGACAGTGCTTCAATTTTTTAAAACTGGTTCAATAAAGCAAGAACTCCCACTTTCTGTCATACATATCGAAATACATAAGTATATTTAAAACTGTATTTTAAAAAAGATTTTATTTTTTTGACCAAAATGTTTCAACTTTTAAACAAATTTACATGTTCATGTAAGATAAACTGTACGACCTTGTGTTTGTTTTCATATTTTTACTTCAAATGGCGACTGAGGGCTGAGCCATATGGTCTAAAATTCACATCAAGATCCTGGATAAATACAATACATGAGCCTTTGCGGTTTGTTTTTACACAAGCGTGGAGCTGCCAATGTGGAGTAATAAACATTTTGACCGGCAAATATGTTTGGACATACTTGCGTATACGTTTAAAAGTATTTATAATACGTGTGAACGCACTCAGAAGTACGTTCTAACGTACTTGTTGGCTAAATGTAACAAACGTAGAATTTGTCCCATAATGCCACGGGGTGGGACTAGCGCAAGCGCGGGGATAAATATGATGATGATGATGTTTTTTTTTTGACTAGCGCAAGCACGGGGATGAATATGATGATGATGATGATTGTTTTTTTTGTTTTGTTTTTTTTATATTTGGCCCATGGCATTATGGGAATAATACTAAACGTAAATCATGCACTGCAGATATACTGAAACCATAACATTAAAAATAAACTGTTTACTTGAAAAAAAAAAAAAACAACTAGATTTACTGGTACTCGCGCCTCATATTTTAAGGGCAACGTGTGACCATTTATGGGCAATTTGGAGCCCTAAGAGACGATTATTTCCTTTGATTCCTCTGGTCCCTGTTTAGTGTGGGATACACCCTGTCAACAAACAGCACAGTGACTACTTGTCACCCTTTAATTAGGCCGACTGACTGATTACAAATTTGAAAACATCAATGAGCTAAATTAGAGGACACACCTTGGTTGAACGTGTCCTGTTTCAAAAGTTTGTAAACCCTGTCTGATTTTTATTGGTTATTTTTCTTCTTTTTCCTTCAAATCATTACTTATATCGGTCACATTATTTCTGTGACCTCTGTGGGTTGTTGTGTCATTAACAGAGTACCAAAATTTTGTCTACGTGGGTATTTGGGGGTTCATTGTATGCATGTAGACTTTATTGATGGAACAATGTTTTTGTTTAAATTTCAACATTCTGAATTTCCTCATTAACAGAGTACCAAAAAGTTTGTCTACGTGGGTATTTGGGGGTTCGTTGTATGCATGTAGACTTTATTGATGGAGCAATGTTTTTGTTTAAATTTCAACATTCTGAATTTCACATAAGTTTAAGTTTTGTTTTTTTTTTTCCAAAGAAATATGCCTTTAAGTCACAAGAAATTTTAGTTCCAAATTGTGCTGCATGTAAACAATGAACTAGAACGGTGTTTGTTTCGATGTGCCTTTCGATTGGCTGGTAACCAGTCAAGGTTGGACCTTATTCATTTATTTCAGGCACGGGTCAACATAAACAATACAACCAAAAACATAATTTTCCAACTTAATTCAAATTAAGACCGATCTTGAAAAGGTGTGGGAAGAAGAGAATATTTCTCCTCTCAAAAGTCAGCAGGGGAAAACAGTCTAGGGTGTGCCCCACTTCTCTTGCCAAAAGTCAACTGGGACGACCAGTCAAGGTTGTATCCTGCTTCTCTTCCCAATATTCCACTTGGGACACTATGCCAGGCTGTACCTTGGTTCTCGAACCAAAAGATAGCTGGGCAACCCTTGTACAGGGTATACCCTGGTTTTCTCACCAAAATTCAGCTGGTAATTTCTCATGCATTCCAACACAAAGACAGATCAAAGCAAAATCGCCACCAGTGGGATTCATTTTATTTGTATCTTCCTGCATTTAAAGTGTCCTGCCAAGATTAAAGTTTGGTTTTACTCCCAAACAAACAAGAGAAGCTACGGCCATCAAAGACATGTTCAGCATTGCCATGTGACCCTTTTCTTTGAAGTGGTCCCCCAAGGAAGAAGAAAACGAAGAAGAAAGCCATTTGACAAGAGCAGCTGCTTGAAAGAGATGACATCACATGCAAATGTTGCATTTGCACAGTGCACGTGCGTCACAGCTAGCATGGCAGAGGCTTACTTTGTTGCTGGCGTAGGCTGCGTCTCCCCACAGGATGATGCCAGCTGCTCCCAAAGCCACGCTCTCCCCGATGGTGGACACCAAGTCCATCTGGAACACATGACCATGCTGGATCAAGCTCATACGGGCAGCGATCAATTCTTCAAAAAGAGGCTTCAAGCCGTTTGATGCCAATCCTATTGAAGTCTACTGTCATATTCGACATAAAACTGAGAATTATAGGTTGTATATTTAAAGCAGGGGTCACCAACGTGGTGCCCGTGGGCACAGGGGAGCCCCCTCATGGACTACTTGAGGGGCTATTCCAAAAATTGCCCACCAGTGATCAGACAGTGTGACTCTCTTGGGAATATTGTAGTCATTTCAAAATGTGAACACTGGCAGATATTTATAATAAAGTGTGGCCAATTGATATTTATCCGTTTCATAATTATTGTGGGAAATCACGAATGTGATCAGTGTCTTCTCAGAGATAAATATCATTTATCACTGATTGTAACGTGAAGGTAGTTGGCGCAAATTGATTTCAAAAGTGCATACTATCAAACTGGTAGCCTACCGCATTAATCAGGAGCCAAGAAGGAGCTCTTAGTTTCAAAAAGGTTGGTGATCCCTGATTTAAGGCAACCACACAACTTTACCTTAAGCTAACTTAATGCTAACAATTCAAAATGCAATATGGTATCGACTGGCACGGTGTTGTAACTAGGGCCGGACCAGTTCAGGATGTAGCCCGCCTCTCACCTGAAAGTCGGCTGGGATTGAATCCAGCACAGCCACGACCAGAGTGAGGATAAGCAGATCAAAATAATTGATGGATGACTATGTTTTTTTTCTTCCATTAATAAATGTCTAAGAATAAAGTCAAGAATCACTGGAAGACTATTTAACTGCTTTCCAATACTTTGTCCTTCAGTATTTGATTAACTTCACAACAGAGGGGAAAAAATGGCAGATTAGTTTTGCCAATTATTTTTGGGGGGTGGGATCTTTCAATGTCATTATCTTTGCGCTATGTTAGAGTGTGTTAATGTGTAAAAATAATAATTAGCAAGGAAAGCAGCTGACTTATGCCAATTTTAATGAAGCTAACGTCAGCCGATGAATCGGTCGGACCCTATTTATAACTGTTTAAGACATAGATACTTGAACACAAAGACTGCATCAACACATGTAGACAAACAATATAATAATACTCACAAGCACAGTGACAGTATCATTGCCCTTTACGAAGCCATTTACAGCAGTTGGGAAAGTCTTCTTTGTTTGTGTCCTCGTGACGGTATTAGTGTTTGTTCCCTTTTTTCTACTTTTACCGCCCCCCCCTCACCATTTGTCCCATTTCAGCTAGGTAATATAACAACTATAATAGTGAGAGCATGTCAGAAATGAATCCTTTGATTTATAAGGACAGGCTTTATTTCTTTGATCTATATTGATCCAAGTAAGGTAATTGAGAACAGGTTTTTATTTTCACTGCCGACATGGCAATGGACTTAGCTCTTTGGGTTCAGTTTGGAACACATAGTTTGCCGTTTCCATGATCAAATACACAATCTGTCACTCCCAAATTTTTTGGCATGTTTTCATGGGGGTGCCAGGGTGGAGTTAAACACCAAAAAGAGAAGTGTTACCTGTGTTATTCAAGAGAAAGGAATACACAGTGCTTGCATTTTGAAGAGCATTGGCATTTGACTCGATGTCATTGACAAAATTTTTTTTTTAAAGGGATGGGAGAATCGTTCTCTGAATGTAATCAATCCAACCATGATATTGTGTTATTAAGCAGAATATGCTACCAGGAGGAGTTGCCTGAAGATCTCGGTGAATGTCATGAAACATGACATCGCGCTGTCGTCTTCAAACAGCAAACGAGTTGAGACAGAATCGGACTCACTTAATTAGGATAAGCATCCTTTTTTTTTTCCTTTGCTACTACATGTGACGTTCTCGTATTTGTTGTCCTATCCTAAGGAAGCCCTCAACAGGGTGTTAGCGAGCTTTTAAAACGGACCAACACCCATCCGCACACAAATGTGTCGTATCAGCACAGGAAAGGACTGCGCTCGCTGATAAGCTGTGTGAAGCTCCTCCAGATCAGAGGGCTGAGATTTCAATTGGGGACAGAAAAACTGAGTAAGAGAAAGCCAAGTTTTGTTTGTCCAAAAGGTCAGAAGGAGCGAATGCGCATGACGTTTTGGAATTGACTGGAAAGCCTACAGGAAGGAGCAGTACCCTGAGTCAAGTGCTGAACTCGTCCGCCTCGCAGTTCAAAAGTTTGAGGTTCAAATCTCAGCTCTAGCCTCCCTGTGTGGAATTTGCACGTGATGTGTAAATGGGAGTGTGAATTAGGCCTGAAAGATTTTGAAAAATAACCTAATTGGATCTCTTCTTTTTTGTAACCTTAATATTGTGATTGATGTTTAATATGGCATTATTTTTTTTTTCAAGGTCCTCTTTTTGTAGATTCGATTTTATAGATTACGCTAAATAAAGGCGAAAGAATCATGAATTAAGATGAAAGACCATTTATTTATCTACTTCAATAAGAGTTGGTAACTTACTAAACCCTACTTGCAGTCTTTTTGACTTTGCAATTTTCTACCAAAAGGTATCGTGTAAATATAAGTCCATAAATCATATATCAATTCCATTCGATGAACATGTGTCTTTAAAAAAAAAAAAAAAAATTTTTTTTTTTGGATTCAAATCGGGTTTTTTTGTTATGACCCGAATAACTTTGTGTGTTTCTTTCCAAATTGTAGCCTTTGCAATTTGAAAGCTGCATTCTACTATGCAGTATTGTGATGTTGATTGTCTTTGAATTTAATTAATTGTTCAGTCCTAGTGTAAATAGATCAGTGTTTTTCAAACCCTGGTGTGCCGCGAGACATTATCAGGTGTGCCGCGGGAAAATATCCAATTTGTATGCCTGTGCGGTCTATCGCCCAGAAAGTAATCGTGTAGTACCGTCCCATACCGCTAGGGAGCAGCAACAGCGAGCCAATTGCCTCGTGTTTCGACCACGAGAGACAAGCGAATTTGTGCCGCATGAATGCAGAACGACAGCAAAACAACAAATATGAAAGATTATAAAATACATTTTTCTTTGTGTTCATTTGATTCCAATTCAAGCTGTTATAACGTCATTCTTCAATGTTAAAAACGGTTATAGGAACAATATAACACGTAAATTGTTAAAATAAGCGGGGTTTTTTTCACATTTTCAGCTAATGGTGTGCCGCGAGATTTTTTCAATGAAAGAAGTGTGCCTTGCATACCTGTCAACTCATACGGGTTAGCCATATTTTATACGGATTTTGTGGTGAATCTTACGTATATGGCCATATCGCACAAATCATACGGATTCTGAAAATTTCCGGGTTTTTTTTTTTTCCCCCCCCTAACAGGCTGTTCCGTTTGCGTTTGCCCAGAATGGTGCTCTACTCGAATGCTTTAATTTCTGGTAATGTTCCAGTAAATCACGTGGTTCCTAGTTGAAAACAGCAGAGTATTCATTCCATACTTCGGTAGTGTACAAGCAAGTTGTAATCTACAAGGAAACACATTTATCATTCATATTGCGCAATGGAACCAACAAGAAAAAGAAGTAAAACGAAGCACAGTGGAAGGTTTCTTCAAGAATGGATATCGCAGTTTAATGGCGCAATAGTGCCTGGTAAGACTGAAGAATATGCTCATTGCACAATTTGCAAACGTGAAGTAAAAGTTCTTGCATCTGGAAGTAGAATGATGATTAGACATTCACCTGCCATTGTATTATGGAGATCTACAATAAATATCATTAAAAATTTGGTGGGGTTTTTTTCTGCCGTTATTTTGACATATAAAATGCTTTGGTATGTTATAAGGATTTTTTGCTCTTTGTAAGGATTTTTTTGGTAGTTTATATGGGTTGGCGCTCCGAAAGGTTGACAGGTATGGCCTTGGCTCAAAAAAGTTTGAAAAACACTGACATAGACTAGTGATGGGTATATCCTGCTTCTCTGACCCAAAATGTATTGGGATAGGCTACAGCTCACCCATGACTCTTAAAGAAGGTGCTTGCTATCGAAAACGGAGGGCTATTATAAGGAAGGTCTCACCTCTGTCAACTGCTCCAGAGAGTTCATATACGTGGGCCGAGTGTACACAAAGACGGGACGCGCTAGCCCATCACCAGATGATGCCAAACGCATGCCCTCCTTCACACGGTTTCTTACGAATTGGCGTCCGGAAGCAGACGAGCGCAGCACCCTGCCCATATAGATGGACGGGAAGAGAGCCGTACTCTCGGTCCACAGCCAATTGAGCAGCTCGTTGCGCGCCACCTCCACGTCAGGGCAGCGACCAGTGTAGCTCTCCAGGGTCCGCCTGTAGTCGTGGTTGTAGCAGTCCGGGAACAGGTAGAAACCCCAAAGCTGATTGGGCCTCAGGTGCTTGGCAAGCTTCAGTGTCTCCAGCATAAACTTCTTGGCAGACATCTCAAACTCCTGGAGGGCCACTTTGGACACCCGCTCGGGCGGCCAGGTGGGGTTCTTCTGGCGCACCAGCTCACGAGAATGTCGGCGGTAAATGTCCTTCGCCTCCCAGTTGCGTATCCAAAGGGGACGCCATTCTTCCCAGTCAATAACTGCCAGGCCTTTGGCATTGGGCTCACGTATGTACTTTTTCACCCCTTCTGGCATCTTTTCCAAGTGCTGTGACAGACTGGCAATCTGCGGCAGACCCCCGTTGACAGGCGTTCCGTCCGGCTCATAATGGGGGTACAGGCCCAGGCGGTCATTATAAAAGATGGTGAGGTTCTGCCTCACGAAACCCTCATTGGGGGAGGCCACGATCTGGAACTGGTCCAGCTGAAGAGAGACGCGATGCCGTGGGGAGCAGTCCTCCGTCGGGGCGTTCCACGCCAGCAGCAGGGGCTTCTGGGAATACAGCGGCCATACTGTGGCTTTCAGTCCCAAGGCTCCGGTTTCATCCCACAGTAGAACAATCAGCAGCAGCAGAGCTTTGCAGTCAGCCACCGTCCAGTGCATGTCTCCAGATGGGAACGGGCTGAATTGACTGTCACTCTCTGCTCTGTAATTAGCACAAGACAGCTACATGAGGCTTTTTTTCCCCCAAGGTACAAGTGACCCTACATCTGAGTTTTTCAGCCCATTTTTTGCTTTGACTTTTGAGCGCAAACTTGGGATACAAGTGCTGTATGGCGGCAAGTGGCTCAAATCACTTCACATCAAGCAGCAGTTTGCAGAGAGTAAACAAGTCTTGAAAAAAGAGGCTTCAAGCTGTTTATTGCCACTCTCAAGTGAAAGCTACTGTTAAACTAAGAATAAAACAGAGACAATTACACCTTGTGTAACTGAAACAACCACATAGCCCCTACTAGTACAGAACAGGAAACACAATTCGCATCTGGTGGTGGTGTTACCCCTCAAGCAATGGATATTCTGATCACAAAGGGTGGAGACAAACAACCATCCGCGCTCACACTCACACCTAGGTACAATTTAGAGTGTTCAATCTGTCTGCCATGCATGTTTTTGGAATGTGGGAGGACACTGGAGTACCCGGAGAAAACCCATGCAGGTACAGGGAGAACATGCAAACTCCACACAGGAAGGTCGGAGCCGAGATCGAACCCATGACCTCTGCACTGTGAGATCGACACACCAACAAAATCTAATTATATCATTACTGTATGTTTTCATTCAGTATATTGTGAGTGCTATTTTGTTTTTAAAAATAAAACACATTTTAAACATTTGGGGGAGGAGGGGCTTCAATGGAGTTTTAATTCATTTCAATGTGGAAAGATGAGTTGCCAGGACAATGCTGCATTTTCACCAGTTTAAAATAATAATTATTGATTACATATTTATCACAGCAACATGGCATTTGTATCACTATAATGCTGGTTTCTAATAAAGTTTTCACACACGTAGCCTTGATAAAGGCATCATTTAATACTGCTCTTGAATTGAAGCTTAATACATTCAAAAGACTTTCACTTGTTCATTCAAAAATAGATTGTCATATTCCATAAATCAATGCAAAATGAAGTTATCACCGGTCCGCTGGGGTTCACTCACCTTTCCTGACGGTGTGGAGAAGCATTCCCCCCTGAATCCTCAACAAGTCACGTCGCCGTTTTGGGGGTTGTTGATCGGCTCAAAGCATGAAAGAAGAACATGTGAACATCGCTGCGCTTTCTTTTGTGTGTTAAGAAGCTGTAGAAGTGTGGTCCAGGTCGAGAGGCGGATCGGTTAGCCTCCCAGCGGGCTGAAGACACGAGCAGCTGCCCCCCTGCGACGATACAAGAACCACTGCCACTGGAAGGTTCCATTCAGCTGCAAGAAAAGAAGGGGGATGAGCCGTAGCTTACCAAAATCTTTGCATCCTATAAAAACAAGTCTTGTGTCTAAAATCAACACATTTAATAATCTTGTGGTATTAGAGTCATTCAGCTTCAGAATTTGACGCCATTGATTTAAAAATAATAATCCAATCGCCCCTGTGGAATAGCGGCTGAATGGGCTGCCCCGAAAAGTTTGTCACAGGCCATATGAAGCAGATAAAGTGAGATTCATGCGAGGTCACAGCCACACTGTCTCTTCCCTAAAAATAAAAAAAGCCGGGACAGAAATGAGCAGTTGCCCCGGGGTGGCTTTTAAGTATAATCATTTACAGTCAGATAAATACATGGTAATTGGGTTAAAACTTGCCTCAAAGACCTCAGGACAATTTATTCATGCTTTTCCCATTAGTTTGAGAATAAGAACAAGCGTCCAAATATGATTTCAATGAAATTATACAGTGATTTGGCTTAAAATAAATACAAGACAAATGGTTGCAATTTGTTCAGATTTCACAGCAGATTTTCTTCAGGGAAACTGAAACGTTCCTTTACAGCAGGGGTTCTGTGCTCCAGGGCCTTTTTTAGTTAATGAAAGGACAAATCGCCCAAGTCATTCGAATATGAGGTAGAATCCATTTTATATATAAGATATTGTCAGTGCTAGGTGAGAACCTTGCATCTCAAAATGTCTACTTTTCAAGAAATTATAAAATGGAATCTTGTTTGAATTACACTGCACCGAGTGTCACATTATGTCCCCTCAAGATTGAAAGTCTGGATGTTTTTTTTAAACAATAACGAGGTAAAATAGATTGCATAGATGCATTTGAGAGAGCCTCTTTTTTTAGAAAGTGGATAGCTCGAATGCTTTGGGGCAGAGGGAACTTGTCAGCCACAAAGATTTGTTTCCTATTACACGATAGTCAGCTCAATGTTTTATTTATTGGATCGCCCATGGCTCTAAGACCTTGGAAAATCAGTTTGGGAAGATGACGTAACCACAGTCGTTTGCTTTTGCGCATGTGCAGATTGACGTTCATGGCTTCCACCATCTTCTACCATTTTAATCAATGACAGCAAAACAAATTGAGGTATATTAAATTACTGATTGAATATGATTTTGGAGTGGTGTTGTGTTGACATTGGTACGTCATGGTATATCATAGCAATATAAACTACAATCCCAACTTGAATTACACAGCGTTTGTTCATTCAAGCAAGATGGCCTCTGTTTGATTTGATGAAAAGTAGCAATTTTGAAGACGGGATGCGCACCAACATAATCACAATACTTCTTGATAGTTATGTCACCAATCCCTAGTTGAGCTGTTCAAACGTTTGGCGTGTTCAACGCAAGCTTCGGCATCTTTTTGCGAACCGTGTACAAGTTGGGATGTGGACACAGTCAAACTAATGGTTGCCGCTGCGCTGCAAGCTAGGTCGAACGTCTCTGAGCCATCTACAATTAGTGGCGGAAGAAGCATTCGGAGGGCCTCACTTAAGCGTAACACATGAGGTAAGAGAGTTTGGATTATCGACCAGCATGAAGCACAAAGTTAAAGTGGAGTTAAAAACAGATCACTTTCCCTGCACAAACATGATGGAGTCACTAAATGAGAAAATGGGATTCTGAATGGCTCCTTTTTTTAGATTTCCTATGCCAGTGTTTTATTGCTCTATAATTAGCTTCTCTTTTTTTCCACTTTTAACAGACTTTCTTCTCCAAGCTTGCAACTTAAGTGGTTGCTGTTTTGCCACCTCTGCGTTGAGACAGCGGGCATGTGTTATGCACATGTCCTCCGTTTCTGGAGGCCGGCGATGACAGCCGCTGGCATTACACCAGCAAATGCAGAAGATAAGAAACTGGGTGTGTGTGCTGTTGCGTGTCTGAGCGGTGGGGAGGAAACTTGTCTAATGAAGCACACGTAATGTTCACTTTTCCATTGCTGACTTGTCCAGTTAATGTTGCTTGAGGGATGAGAAAAACGATGACTCATTGATAATAGTCTAATGGTCCATGAATTGATTTATATATTCAATAAAAGTAGCAGACTTATTTAATCAACATTTATTTAATATAATTTCATGGCCTGTAGTTATTGAATTGAATTTTTTTTTTTTTTTTAAACGAGCGGTAAGTTAGATTTTTTTAATTGCTGAATGATATTTTTCATTAACCCTTTCAGGGACAGCGGTTACTACAGTGGACAGCTTATCATGTTATCAGGTTACAGGGTGCATGAAAGGCTTAATTGGATTTTATTTAATTAATTGAGAGCAAGATGAGGCGACCCGGTAGTCCAGTGGTTAGCACGTCGACTTCACAGTGCAGAGGTACCGGGTTCAATTCCAGCTGCGGCCTCCCTGTGTGGAGTTTGCATGTTCTCCCCGGGCCTGCGTGGGTTTTCTCCGGGTGCTCCGGTTTCCTCCCACATTCCAAAGACATGCATGGCAGGCTGATTGAACACTCTAAATTGTCCCTAGGTGTGAATGTGAGCGTGGATGGTTGTTCGTCTCTGTGTGCCCTGCGATTGGCTGGCAACCGATTCAGGGTGTCCCCCGCCTACTGCCCGAAGACAGCTGGGATAGGCTCCAGCACCCCCGCGACCCTAGTGAGGATCAAGTGGTTTGGAAAATGAATGAATGAATGAATGAATGATAGCAAGATGTCTCCCAGTGGAGGTCAGTTGCAGGGGGTTCGCAGTCCGTTCTTTGGGGTTTCAGTATTTTAGGGATCGAGGGAGAGAGGAAGAGGAGAGCTGTCCGTAGTATCACTGACATGGCAGAGAGAGCCTCAAGATCGTTGTGGCTCAAAAGAGGAGAGCCATGGAGTCATGGTAGCTGGCCATCTGGACACAAGCCGGGGTCAGATCACCCCCGGATGGGTCACCTGGATGAGGGCGTATGATGGTGAAAGACGCGAAACAACCGAAGATTCCAGGAACATCACTGAAGATGTGTCCAGAAGCATCAGTGGATGGATGCACAGAAGTTCTAATTATGTAATGGACGTCCTATTTAGGTTTTTTTTTTTTTTTAATTGAATATTTTCTGATTAACTTCATTGTATTTAATATTTTTTTCATGAATATAATTTATTCCATTTTCTATTTATTAAATGGCTTTTTCAATGTTGTAATGGCAATTATATTAATCTAATACAAATTTTGATTTCATTTTTTAAAGTGTATATAATTAAATTTTACTGATTGAATTCACTGTTTAATCATTTGAGGGATCTCAAAAGATTTGTAATACTTTCATTGTTTTTTAAATGTGAAACATTTATTCAAAAATGACAGGGAACAATTGTTAATCATTTATTTCGTGTCTGTTATATTGACTTAATGGCATTTAAAAAATATATAAGGGGCTCAAAAACATTCAATCGCACCATTATTCTTGTCAGTTTTAGGTGTTATTTCATTGAGATTCTAAATATTTTTCTATTTCATGTTTAGTCATTTCAATGATTAACTGACATTTTTTTAGTCTATTTTATTTCATAAATTAACTCATTCAGTACCAGCCAATTCTAGACCCCATTTTTTTTTTTTTTTACCCTAAGTCTTGGAAAAATTGAAAAAAATAAGGGTTGAACGTGTGAAGCGTGAAAAGACATATAAATACTGTATGGCTTTGGGAGTGAATGAGCTAAATGTTAAATTATTTGATGGATTTGCTTTATATGTTCCATGACATTTAGATTTTATTTAATACATTTTCCAATTATGTATTGGATTTTTAATTAATCATTTGATTGTTGATTTCTTTATATAAAGGCTTTATTTTCATTCACGACATTTTTAGAAGATTCAATATTCAATTTTTTTATTCAATGGATTTTTTTTTTGATTGGATCATGCCATTTTATTTTACTCAACAGATGTTCACTTCATTTTTGTATTTGATTTTGTTTGAAAATTATATCATAGATTTGTTTATTATGGACATATTTCATCATTTCACGACATTTCTCATTTCCTTGCATTTCTTTCTTCGATGGACATTTTGTATTTATATGGCAAATTGTTATTGGTGTTGTTCGGCAACGTTCTCTGTCATTACGAATGAACCTGTGTGGAAAAGCTGCCCCGACAGGACTTTTTCCAAGTGCACACGAGGTGGAAGTGAGACGTTTTCCGCCTTTTGTTTCCCGAGCCTTTGCTGACTCACCTTAAGTGTCATCGAGGTCCCTCCCGTTGAGAGTGCCATTTAGGAAAGCGCCTGTATGAATGGAAGAGGGTTGGAAAAGGGAACAAAGGCATCTTTGCTGGATTCCCCTTGGGGGGTGCTCCCCCTCCTCATTGGACCTCCGCTTCCCGAATGTGACATCGGCAAAAGGCAGGAAGTCCAAACAATGGCAGGGAAACGTTAAACACACCCCACCACCTTTACTTTGGGCCCCCGCCACTCTTTGATTGCGTTGGAATGCATATTTGTGGGAGGGGTCCATCCACTCAAGGGAATCAAACCCATACTATCTCTACGGACACAACATTCCACTCCACTTAACACAAATGACGGCTCATTTCTAGAAAAACTTGTCACTCGTATCTCAAAAGTTAAAAAAATAAATAAAATACCAAACATCCAAAGTAAAACTGGACAAAAGTCTTACGAGAAAAGTACAGGAAACCTCCTTCTCACTTTTGTTCTGTCTCCCGTTTACTTTGGGTGTAATTCTACTGTCGACCAGTAGCAGGAGGCATACCATTGAGCTTGACACAGTGTACATTTGAAAGAAGAAGAGCAAAACAGGAGGTACTTCATACTCAGTCTATTATTGAATGCCAAATCCTCTCCCATCCTGCTTTATGCGCCTTCTCAAAGCCACAGCTGTAGGTTGATTTTATAATGTACATCTTTGGGCACAATAAGTTTGTTAGTTTGGAAAAAATGAGATTTGTTGACTGTAAACACAGTGCGACCAATTACACTGTGTGTGACA